TGTGGTTTATTTATTATTAGCTGCTTAGGTATAATGTTTGCTTTTGTTTCTATATTTCACGAGGATTCAAGTTCATCTAACAAATGAAACCAATTGAAACTTGCAGATGTAACATTAAATTTCACCTTCCGTTCCTGTTTATTTTCTTACTTTTTTATTTCTATAACTGATGTCCTTCCTAATGTGCCCTTTCTTAACTTTCCGATCGAGGTAACAGTGGTGAGGTTAAGTTCGTTTGTATTGTTTTTCCATTTAATCATTTCCTTTCACTTGTGCCAGGTCTTCCAACAAAATCTGTATTGTTTCTGTCTTTAAAAAGAGTTCTTTCTTTCAATATTTTAATTCTTTAGCTACGATCTTACATACTTCGCACCAAATAATCTGATTTAGGTTATGCACATGATTTGCAAATCCATTTTCTCATCTCCTTTTTCGTATTTATACATGAGGAATGATGTTTATTTTTGCAACAGTCACAACTGTTTCCACCTGCAACTTTCATTTCACATAAAGACACTTTTCCCATACATTTGATTAATAGCCGAGGATGCTACAAGTTCGTATCGACGCCATGTTAATTTGCGTAGATAAGAATACGCCCAATTGTAGGCATCATTCAAATACGGTATTTGTGAACCATTAAAACTATCACTGAACATCTGGAAGAGTAAATCCTTTCTCTTATTGGTGTTTTTTAAGCTTTAGCGTAAGCGAAAAACAGTACAACACCTTATGTACATGATTTTTTCTCACTTATTGATTTATCTGTAGCGACTTCAAGCCGAACAGGTCGTGCTGCCATCTATCGGCGGCCGCTTCTACACTTCTGCAGCTGGTAATATCAACGTGACGATGCTCAAATTCGTAAGGTGGAATTACCATGACTTAATTAATCATGTGCACGATTACGTCATGCCCCTTGATGTCATTGACCTTGATGAGTTAAGCAATAAAATTTCGTGCTTTTTGTATCAAACTACCTGGCAAATCAGAACGGAATTTATTTACATTCCGTAGAACCTTCACAGGCCCAAGCCAAGGATGTAAAACGTCATAGCACAAATACAATACTTGTTTCTAATACTTCTTACTTGCTCCATGGAGTCGAGTCCTTCCTGCGAAGCTAACAGTCGCGCAACCACTCAAGAAATTCCCATTATTTTATAGAACCCGAAGGCTCATTACTGTGTTCACAAGAGAGTGCCACTGATCCCTATCCTGAGCCAGATGAATCCAGTCCACAGCACCCCATCCTATTTCTGTAAGATCAATTTTAATAATATTCGCTCACCAACGTTTAGTTCTTCCTAGTGGTCTCTTTTCTTCTGGTTAGTTCACAAAAAACCCTATATGAATTCCTCTTTTCTCCCTTGTGGGTTACATGACCTGTCTATCTCATCCTCCTTATTTGATCTAATTGTATTTGGTGATGAGTACAACTTATGAATCTCTTCATTATGCATCTTTCTCAAGTGCCCTAGTAATTCATCCCAATTAGGTCCAAATATTCTCCTTAGTACCCTGTTCTCAAACACCCTCAGTCTGCATTCCTCCATTAGTGTCAGAGAAAAAGTTTCACACCCATACAAAACTATAGAAAAATATAGTTTTGTATATTTGAATCTGTGCATTTTTAGACAGCAGACAAAAATATAAAAGGTTCTGAACTGATTGGTAGCAAGCATGACCTAAATTGAATCTGCATTAAATTTCCTCATGAATAAAATTTTAGATATTTACTGTCACTCCCAAATACCTGAACTTTGCCAAATTTTCAAAGAATTCATTAGCCATCTCTATGTTATGATTTTCCCGTCCTTCTGGTGATGAGACATCAACACATACTTAGTTCTGTATGTGTTTACTTCTAGGCCAACCGCCTTAATGGCATCAATTAGAGCTTCTGTGTTTTTCTTTATGGTATTTATGTTATCCCCTAATAGCTATATGTCATCAGCATAAATCAGAAGCTGATGTGTCCCATTCAATTTCAATTCAGCCTGGTTTTCTTGGACCTTTCTAATGGCATATTCTAAAGCAAAGTTGAAAAGCAGTGGTGATAGAGCATCTTCTTGTTTCAGGCCATTTTGAATACGAAATGTGTCAGACAAGTGTTTACCTATGTGGACTTTACCATATGTTTTGTTCAAACACATTTTGAAGCCAAACTATTTTCATGGGTATGCAGAACTCAATATTGTACAATACTTCCCTCCTAACTTTCTTGAAGTCTATGAATGTCTAATGTACTGTCTATTGTACTCCCATTTTTTTCTCTAATATCTAATGAATACAAAAGGTATGGTCAGCAGTTAACTTATTACATTGAAATTCACACTGATGATCCCCAATAATATCGTTTATGTATGGACTTAACATTGAGAGAAGGATGTTCGATAACATTTTGTATGAAGTTGATAACAGTAATATACCTTGATAATTACTACAGTCAGTTTTATCACCCTCCTTGGAAATTGTTACAGTAATACACACCTTTCACTGCTTTCTTACCTGTTCCTAATACAAGTATAAATTACATAGTTATGACAGTCAACTACAGTATAACCATAAAAATAATTATACAAGAAAGCATATCCACTGGTGCTTACATATTTAAAATAGCAGAAAATTTTTGGTTCAGGTAATTCTTCTTTATGTCTTGATTCCGACATTTCATAGTGAAGGGGGGATTATTGAATAGCTTAATTCTAGTATAGTAAACTCCTTTTTGATATTTACTGAGATTAGTGTTTGGCATATGAAGGTTTTGTCTGTTTCTTGTAGTTTTATTGTGAATATCAGAGTTTGTTTAAAATGTTTCAGTGTTGTCTACCACAAATAATAATGAGTATGAATTGCTGTCTAGTGCCAGAATATTCAATTTCTTAAACAATTTGCTACATGAAGCTCTCACTTTATTGCCTGCTATTATTCTAACATTTTTAGATATAAAATACTTTTATGCTGTCTGTTGAGTTTCCCTAGAAAATTATTCCATGTGACATGATTGAAGGGATGTAAGCAAAGCAGACTATTTTAAAGTTTCTGTGTTCATGAGTGATGTAACAGTCCTTATAGCAAAACAAGCTGAGCTTAGTTTGGGCATAGCGTATTGTATGTGTTTTCCGATTTAAGTTACTGTCAAATTGTAGGCCAAGAAATTTGGTTGTTTGTATTTCTTTAATTGTTCGATCCTCATACTTTATACCAAGGTTAACACAATTTGTGTTGGTGGTACAAAATTTGTTTTGTAAAAATTTAATGTGAGTTTATTGGCTTTAATATATTTGTTCAAGCTAGCAAAGACATCATTTATGCAGATTTGGAAACATTCAATTTCTGGATGTGAAATAATTAAATTGGTATTGTCCACAAAAAGTATGAGTTTAGACTGAGAGTTAATGGTTTGCAGTAAATCATATATATATATATATATGAGATGAAAAGCAGAGGGCTAATTACTGGCCATGAGGAACTCCATGTTTTGTAATGCCACAATTTAAAAAGGTGCTTTTATTTGAATCTGGTGATTTTGTTTCTACTTGTTGCCTTCTGTCATGAAGGTATGATTTAAACCACTGACTAGCTATGAACAGACAAACAGCCAAATTTTGCATTCATTTTATGCATTTGATGAAACTAATGCACAAAAAGAAAACACTTCTCACAAAGAATGTGACATATTTCACACATCAAAATAAACCATTAGAGGAGAACTCATAAAATTCACATTCGTATGTCACAGATACAGGCCTATAGTCTAACAAATATGATTTATTTTGAATTCCATAAACATTTAGTTTTGACAGTAATAATTCATGATTTACACAGTTAAATGCTTTAGAAAGATCACAAGTTATTTCACTAACATGCATGTTATTATGAAGAGCGCAAAAGATTTCATCTGTTAAATTTAAAGGGGCTTTCATGAGCTGAAAGTCTTTTCCTAAATCCAAATCATTCACTTGCAAGGACATTGCTTGAGTTTAAAAAATCACTTACTCCATTAAACATAACTATCTCAAATATTTAAGAGAAAGCTGTTACTACTTCTTTCTCCATTATTTTGAGACACAGATAAAGAGAACATCTAGATACCAAAATACATGGGTTCTAGTTAAAGACTTTCATATTTGTATGCTTTTATTTATTAGGCTTACCTGTTGATTTGTTTCTTTGGTGCATTTGCAACAAAGTTGCAAAATACTCTTCTTTGTTTCACCATGTGTCTATCTGCACACAAAAACTTGAGAACTACTATACAGATTTTCATGAAATTTGAAACTGATGGTGTTTTATGAAAATTTCCCTGCATATTCAAATTTTGGTTAAAATCGTACAATAATGGACACTTTATATAAAGACCAAATGTGTTTCTGTGTGCATTTTAAATATTTATTACAGTGAAAAATGTTTTATATAGAAATTGTGAAAAGTGGAACACACTCTACATTCATTACCTTTTTCCGTAAGTCTTACTGTCTTTGAGATAATTAAGTGATTTTTAAGCAATATTATCAAAAACTTGAGAACCAGGGGTCCTTTCCTTTGGGATAAAGCACAGCCGGGTCATGATGTTTACCACTCACCCCCATCTAGTGCTGAGGTTGAGAATGAGTAAGAGCTATACATAACTCCTCTTTCCTGTGCACCTACATGATGAGTAATGGGATGGGTTGGATTTAATGTTGAATTGATTTTGACCATGTTTTACATTGGAGGCTGTTTCTCATATTTCTCACCTGTTTTATACTCTCTATAAAAGAACATAAAAAGGTAGCATTTATAAATTGAAAATCTAGAGCCAGTAAGTAACAGAGTAACAACACCATAATTTGTGTATAATGTGTGCATGTGTACATTTTCTAACTTGTTGCAACAATGAATATAGTGTCAGTGGGTTTAACGCGAAACAGCATGATGAACACATTATTTTGCATGCTGGATATCTCAGTGCTGATGAAGTGTGTCTTAAGGTGTGTTTACTGATAAAATTGATATACAAGGTAACAAACCATCTTTATTCACACACAGTCAAACAGCTATTATACAAAATATTTCTACATAATATTCATATGTACATACACTCATTCATGAAACTGGTTATTTCACACAGTCTTGAACACTGCATTATACCTTGGGAGCAGTTTTGGTCTGTCTTCCTTAGAAAACATAAGTAGTTTACAAATACTGAATTTTCTAGGTTTTCTAGGATGAAGCATTGCATTAAAAACTATGGTCTTCCATTGTCTCAATAAAATTAAAATGAACATCAAGTTTTTCTGCCCAATTTAATACATAAATAAGTTTGGTAGTTTATGTGATTCTTATAAAAATCACTTATGCCAGTCTCATCTCAGCGAACTGCCACACCATTTATTGTGACCATTGGTCTCATTGTTCCCCTGCTGATTGGTGTAGGTTCATAGTGATGAGAACGATGTGATGTTTCTTCATAAGGTGCATCATACATATTGTCTTCGTGAATATTCTCATAAATATTGGAATGATTTGGCATACCATAACTGTTACCATCATTTAGTGTTGCGTAAGACATAACTGCAGCGTTTTGGTCCTCTTTTCGTACAGCACCTTCAACATTCTCTGTGTTCTTCACTGGGGTTGCTTTTCGTCTGCAAAATAATTTTAAAAAACCTTAGTATATCAATCTGTTAATTTATACATGATTTGATAACTTTGAGATATGTTTAGTAATACCATGGTGGACAGATCTTCACTTGAATTTATGAAGGAACATTTCATTTCTGTGATGTGTCCAGACATAACTTTTGTACCTGTTATATGTTAAAAAAATTGTTGGTCTGTTTTTACTTATAAATCACTATTTTTATTACTGTTAATTCTATGGTCTATGCTCAAGGTGGTTTGCTCATTTTAGAGTTCCTTTCTTAACCTAATGTCTTCAGCATGTGTATAATTTAGTCCTGTCTTTTTATGGAAATGATTGTAGATTCATAAAGTTTTACAGTGATATTTGGCATATTGTCTTGTGTACTATTTCACTGTAGTTGCACGAGACAATGTAAGTAAACATATATTGTAGAGTGTAGAGAATTGCAACCCCTAAACTAGAAGGCTGCTTGTTGTACTTTGACTATGGGATTTGAAGTTTTAGCAGTCTGCTAATGTGATGCATGGAGCCAGGCAGGGCCAGCTAGATTATGTGTAGGCAGTGACACATGATCAGTGGAAGTTATAATTCTGTAGCACTGAAGATGGCTCTTCTGTAGCTGAAATTTGTCTGAACTGTAAAAAAAAATGTGTAAATTGCTAATTGTTCATACATGTAATTATTTTTACAGTCATGTTAGGACATGAGATACTTACAGCCTTAAATAGATTAGTCCCACAATAATGAGGAGGAACAAAATCACTCCAGCTCCAATACCAATCGACATGCCTAGATTCTGCGGTTCGTTTGCCTCTCCTGTGGTCACTGAAAAATAAGAAATGTAACTTTACACATTTCCATACCAAGTATTGCTTTAGTTTTGTGTTCTTCCTCTGATAAAAGAAGAAAGACAATAATCTGGGAATTTTACATACAATATGGTTGTAGTGTTAGAGTTGAAATATTAGTGGATTTTTTTTAAAAATGCAAAGAAATTATTGTAGTGTAGTAATACCGGAAATAAAAGAATTATATTTTTCTAACCCGCTTCTTACATATGACTATTGGTAATTGTAATTACATGATTTATGATTACTGAAGGAAAGACATATGCCTATCTGCCTACAGCCCATCTTAATGTTATCCTCCCACCTATGTCTAGGTCTTCCAAACCATCTCCACCTGTCAGGCCTCCCAACCAATACCCTGTAAACATCCCTCCCCACCGCCATACATGTCCCATGTCCCACCCACCTCATCCTCCTTGATTTAATCACCCTAACAATATTAGGTGAACAGTACAGGCTGTGAAGCTCATCATTATGGAGTTTTCTCCATGATCCATCTTCCTCCCTTTTAGGTACAAATATCTTTTTCTCTGTTCTCAAAAACCCACAATCTATGTTCCTCACTCAAAGTGAGAGACTAAGTTTTGCATCCATACAGCACAACTGGCAAAGTTAAACTTCTGTATATTTTAACCTTTAGTTTTATATATATGTAAGATGGGAGGACAAAATGTCTTTGACTGAATAATAGCAAGCATTCCTTGAATTTAATCTGTTCTTGATTTCATCATGAATTTATGACTTGTTAGTGTCATCCTTAAATACTTGAATTTTGTCACATTTTCAAATGGTTCATTAGCTATCCCTATATTCTGGTTCTGTCCTGCATTCTGATGCCGAGACATTATTATATACTTGGTCTTTTCTGCATTTATTTCTAGACCAACATCCGTACTAGTCCTTAAGAGTGTTTCTGTATTCACTTTTATAGTATTTATGTTATTGCCTAACAGATTAATATCTTCAGCATAGACCAACAGCTGATGTGTCCCATTCAATTCCAAACAGCCGTGTTTTTTGACTTTCCTAATGGCATATTCCGAGGAAAATCTATTCTTGCTGATATATTAATTTATTGCAATTTAACACTGAGCTCTACTCATATGCAACCATTATGTCCATTATGTCCATGACCAGAAGTTGTCATTCCTTATGCTACGTGCTCTGACTTTGCCAGTTAAATGCATTCTCCAGGTCAAGAAGCAGGCCAGCAGACTCCAATGGTTTAACTCAGCAGATAAATGTACCACAGCACTGAGTGCAGGAAAAAATTGTTCATATCCCAGATGAATAAATAATTCTACAGGAGATGCTTACTTTCACACCGTGGCTCCTCACCAGACCACGTGCCATCCTCCATACATTTTCTCAAATATGGTCCAATACGCTCATAGTTGGGCACACAGTGATACTCCACAGCACTGTTATATGTTGTAGTCTGATTCATCACAATCACACGGCCATTTTCTATGCTTCCAGGGTGTTTGCAGTCCACATCTGTGGAATTAAGTATGTTTTTAGGCTTACGTTAATCTATTTTATGGTTGTGACAGAGCAATAACAAGTTGTGAATAGGTTAGAAGTGGGAAGAAAGAAGTTTAGGTCTATCTTACTGATTTTATTCTTTTATTTACATCTAATTTTGTGCGAGTCTTTTCAAATAGTTTTTAAATCAACTACACTAGTACAATTTATGATTTTCTTATAGGCTAAATTCTTATTTATGCTGAGTTATATATAGCATAATCATTTTTCCTTCTATTTCTCCATTTCCAGACGTTTTAATAGAATGCGTTTGTGACCACTGAGGTTTATCTGAGGTGCAATTATTGCTACTTGAAAAAATTCAACATGACTAAAAATCACTATATCACTTTTGACACTCATAAACTGAATTTTTACAAAGGAAATGTAACCATCACCACCCTGGCTGATATTAGAACATGTGGCCTGTTATAGTTTTGTGCCATCTTTTCAGTGGTTTTCCTAAACTTCTCTTCCCAAACACTTTTATGCTGCTGTTAAATTACATAATAGAATTGTCAGTGGGAGTTGACAGTGCATTGTTTTGTGGTTTCTCTATCAATCCATCCAGGCACTATATAACTGAGATAACCACTTCTTCATCTTTTCTGATTAGACATACCTAGTCATGTTACAGTTCAAGAAGTTGAAGAAACTAGTGAAATTACCACAAAAGATAAATGAATTAAATTTATATTGTAAATACTCTGAAAGTTTTAAAACCTGATGTTAAAATCAGACGTTGAAATGAAAAATACTGGAAACATGTATAAAGTATTTGGCAAATAATCGCCTAAATAATAATCTCTGAATGGATTATGGATATATCAGTTAAATAAGGCAATAATTTTTGCAATGAACAACTAAATTATGGATCTTTTTCTTCTCTAACTAACATGTAAATATTTTGACTGAATTATTCATTTTTAGTCACATTTTATGTAATGGTGATAAAAATGGTTCTATAATTTAACACACCAACTTTCACTTCAAGGATACATGGATTTATGGATATATAAAAAGGTGAGGACTAGATAAAAAATGTATAACTTCAACTTTCAGGCGTGAATCACATTGAATGTTTGGTGTTAATGTTTTAACAAACACTGCAGTTGCCATTTTCAAGTTGGATGTGTAGTGGGGCAAACATGGCTCATATCTGAAAGTGGAAGTTAATATTTTGAACTCCAGCCATGAAAACTTGTGGTCAAGAATGGATAAAAAGTTATAGGTAAAATAATTCCTGTATCTAAAGAAGAATATAGACTGAGGGTACCTGATAAATAACATTTTGAGGAGAATATTTAGATTTATGATAAAGAAAGTAGCAGGAGGGTGGAAGAAATCAAGGAAGTTGAGATTGGCTGGAATTATAGCATGCATGCAAAATTTTAATCAGATAACTTGAAGGAAAGAGACCACTTGTAAACCACAAATGAACATGGATGATAACATTAAGATGGATCTCAATATGGACTGCACTTCCATGGTCCAGGATGTGGTCTAGTGATAAGCTCTTGAGAACACAATAAAGAACCTATGGGTTTCCATAAAAGGCAGGGTGTTTCTTTACTAGTTGAGTGACTAACAGCATCATGAGGACTCTGCACCATTATAAAAACCAACTTTAGTAGTCAGCCTTCTCAAACTATGTTTCAGATGCTCATATTCCCAGAAAATGAGGAGCAGCTATGTTGATCCAGAATTTCTTCTTAGTTAATCAAGGCAAATTGAAATATGTTTGGAAATGATACATTTTTGTGTTCCAAGTCAAAACATGCACCGTGTTTGATTCTACATATTTAAACTAGTATTTCCTCTGAATATAATTGTGACTGCACACTAGGCAAAGAAAAGTAGCATTTCTGTATTGTGAAATTACCAACCTGTGCTGGAAGGATGGTTATTTTCTGGTTTATTCTGGCAAAATCATATGCATTAATGCTTTTGTAATGTGTATAAAGAATTTATATTTTTAATTTTGTGCCACAATATTTAAATTTGCACTATCAGACCAGGAATTTAAAATCTCTTTATACCATGATCTAGTATACTGTACTTACTACATTCTGATGTGTTAGGCATTCTATACAGATTATGACTTGTAAGAATTTATACTCACATTTGCATACAGGCATTAATCCACTCCAGGTGCCCTTCTTCAGGCAGGTTCTTGTTGAGTTGCCCAGCATGTACTGTCCTCGAGGACATGAATAGTGGGCAATTCCTCCAATGCTGCGGGTCATTACTTGCACTGTCATATCATCATTCTTTTCAGGATGTCCGCATAGTATCTCTGAAAAATAAATTGTCCTATGGAAAAGATCCTACAAAATTACCTGACGTGGAAACTCTTCCAAATACAACTAAAACTGTGTTTTGTGTGTGTGTGGAAATTACACCCTGATTTTTCAAAATATTTATTATTTATTTAGTGTTCTGTCTGGCGACAGGTCCATATGAACAGGATCCTTCCATCCTTTTCTCGGACTGGGACCTGTTCATATACGTTCTTGGCAGATGATCCAGAAGTGGTTTGCCATTGCCTTCTTCTGTGTGTGAATGGAGTAATTGTTGGGATGCCACGGAGAAACCGAGGAAGCCCCCGGAGGAAAACTCCGTGTTGCCTAGACCACGGCCTTGCCCAACACAAGTTATAAATTTGGGTACCGCCGGGAATCGAACCCGAGACCCCAGGATTATAAGGCCAGCGTTCTAACCGCTAGACCACCGTGGCAGTCTTTCAAAATATAGGGGAGAAAAAAACTAAGACTTTCAAAATTAAGGAATAATCTTAGGCTGTTGTATAGACAGGATTAAACTAGTGAAGCAGTTACATATTAAAAATAAAAAAAAATACTTCAGGATGTCAACCAACTTCAGTATGAAAATGGCAGTGGAACCAACT